GCGCCCGGCCGAAGCTGTTTTTATCAACTTTAGTAATTCAGTTTCATCTTACCAGGAGCATTATCCTTAGTAAGACACACCTCCTAATTGCGCGGGTCTGGCTTTTTACCTCTCAGACAATGTAAAGGAAAGTTAATAGGATGTACTTTTTAATATGATCTTGGGGGGTGGAATTTTCACCGTTAAAATGAGAACATAAGTTTGGGGAGCAGCAGTTATTCAAACCAAGGAAGTTGACTGTGAATCATTTAGAGTTATTAGGTAAGGGTGGGTAGGTAAGAGATGGTGAAATGAGGATGTGGCTGTGCAAACGCCACATTTCACAGGTTTCAGATGAAACAGGACTGTTAGGGAAGAGCCTGTGTAGGAGCCGTGCATTCCTCAGTACTGCACATCCACCGTGGCCTAAGCCTATGAGAAGCTAAGAGAGTATTAATTTTGTCATTTCAGAAATGCAGATGTGTGTGTGTGTGTGTGTGTGTGTGTGTGTGTGTGTGTGTGTAGTCAGCAAGTTAGTTACATGTTACCTATTTGTTGACATCTTTATAATTTTAGTGATTATTGAAAATGGTTAATCACAGAAAGATAACTTGAACTTACAGATGTAAATTGTTTCTAAATTAGAGTTATTTGTGTCTCATATTCTTATTCCTTTTATCATTGTTCCTATAAATATTTATTGAAGTCACCATGCTAGTCACAGATACAAAGAGGTGTCTGATGTCCTCCCTGCTTGTGAAGGATTCTGTTAGTAGCTGACAAACTGGGCCATCCCCAGGACCAGCACAGTGCACGCTTTTCCCTTCCCGTCTCTCCTTTGGCCCACGCACAGCCCTAGGAGGGGGGTGTGGCCACGGTCAGGGTGGTTTTGGGATCTGGTGTTGGCCGTGTGGCTGGTGAGTACAGAGCTTGCATTTCCACAGCACTTGCCGCAGTTCGACGACAGGTGATCTCGGATTTACTGTCCTTCCCCCGTGACTGTGACTGTGTGGCCCTGAGGGCTGGGTCCTCCATATCCAGTGCTGGCCAGTTGTGAGTTTTGGAAAGATGGATGATTTTCGAGTCTCTGTGCCTAGCAATTGTGCGCCATGTGGAGGGACAGAGGAAAGGGTGGTGAGCACCCACAAGACACAGGGCAGGCCCTCACTGACAAGGCCCATGCTGAGGGGAAGTTAGGACAGCCTCTCCAGTAGTCTCTGTGAAAATTTTAAAGGCACACTACAGACTCATTAGAAAATATTAAACTCGTGTGTTCTAGTCCCTCTTCGATAAATCGTCCCACTAAAATAATCCCAGGTGCTGGCTAATTAGGTGAATTGGGAGGGGGCAGAGGCTCTGAATGCAAGGACTGCAGCCCGACTGCGGGAGATCAGCCACCAGAGAGCACCTGGGGGAGTCCAGGGCACCAGGCGGGGGAGGTAGGCCCTGACCAAGCAAGGCGGCATGGAGTGGGAGTTCATCTGCACAGACGTCACTGCTGGGGTCCCAGCTGCCTGGGGGCAGGCGGACAGCAGTGAAACCAGTTGCTGCAATTGCACCTGGAGTTGGCGCCGAGTGAGACAGCGTCCTGTCCCCCTCTCCTTTTTTTAATCATCAGAGAACGTCTTGTTGAAGAAGTAGAATTTGAAAAGACATTGAAGAAAGTGAGAATGAGCCATAGGGATCCACCTGGGGGAAGAGTACCTGAGGCAGAGAGAAGAGCAAGGATCAGGAGCTTACCTGGAGGCTGCTGGACCAGCAAGTCAACGGCATGTCTGCAGCACAGAGAGCAAGGGGAGAGTGACAGGAAGTGAAGTCTGAGCAGGACAGGGTCTCAGGAAGCCATGCCAGGGTTTTGCTTAACTGTTTAGTGAAAGAAGTCAGTAGGCCCTTGTCCTAGTCCATATTCTGTTGCGTACAACAGAATACCTGAAGCTGTCTAAGTCATAAAGAGAAAGAGTTCATTTTTTACAGGAATAAAGGCACAGAAGTCCAAGGTTGAGGAGCTGCATCTAGTGCGAGCCTTCCTGCTCACATGGGCTCTGCAGAGTCCCGCGGTGGCGCAGGGCCTCACATGGCGAGGGGGCTGAGTGTACTCATGGGCTAGCTCAGGTTTCTCTTCCTCTTCTTATAAAGCCACCAGTCCCACTCCCATGATAATCCGTTTATGAAGCCACGGCCCTCATGATCCAGTCACCTCTTAAAGGCCCCGCTTCTCAATACTGCCACTTTGGGGATTAAGTTTCAACATGAGTTTTGAAAGGGACCATAGCAGCCCTATGTGACATCAAATTGTCCTGTTTGTCCCTCTCCTTTTTGTATTGCAGCTTTATCTAACAGGGTAGAGGTACTGGCTGCCTGTTTCCCCATCGCAGGTGGAGACCTCGGTTCTAAAGCTGTGAGCCCCTGGAGGACTGGAGCCTCTGCCCACAAAACCCGGTTATAGCCCCCCCACACCTGCTTTCTTGCACACCTGTGTGCAGTCTATGGGTGATTCACCTGCCCTTGGACTCCTTCCCATGGAGAAGTTGCTGTCCCTTCTGCATTGCTGTTTGTTGTACTCCTCTCTATGCCTGGAGAGAAAATCTCATGGTCTACAAAGGGCAATCATGTCCTTTTCCACTTTTCCTTCCCTGGATTTTGTCTGATCCTATGCAGACACACCTCCTTTACTGAAGGACTCATGATCATCATGGAAACAAAAACAGAACCCTTCTGGTCCTGTGCTTTAGGGGTTTCATTGAGTCCCAGAGCTACCTGATCGGGGTTCAGACACAGTACCTGTTCCTGCAGAGGCCCCGTTGCTGTCTTGGGCTGACTCTCCTGACCACGGACATCCTTATTTTCTATGTTACTTCTCTGGCGCTTTCCCAGTGTTAGCATGGGTTCCTTTAAAATGAAGGCTCAATCTACCATTTTCTCTTCAGATGTTGCAGGAGAGAGGAAAAGCAATGTTAGGAGTTTTGACTGGGAAGAAAAAGAGCAAGCATTTCTTGGTTCTACTTCTATGCTTGTTGCTTTTCATTTATCTTATTTAATTAGATCAGTGTTACCTTCCTGTGTCTCATCTAATAAATGTAAATCCATTTGAGTCAGTTACATTCCTGCTCTGCTAATAGATTTGCTTTTGATAGACACAATTCTATATTTCCAGGGTTTTCTTATTACATGTAAATTAAATTGACAATCGAGGTTAGCATACTGAAGAGATGTGCTCCTAGTTAATATTTTGTGCGCCATTAATATTACACCTGCCATACTACTTTGTTTGTTTGTTGTTTTTTTGAGACAGAGTCCGCGCTTTTCACCCAGGCCGGAGTACAGTGGTGTGATCTTGGCTCACTGCCACCTCTGCCCCCAGGCGCAGGTGACCCTCATACCTCAGCCTCCTGAGTAGCTGGGACTATAGGTGGGCTACCATGCCTTGCTAATTTTTGTTTGGTTTGGTTTGATTTTTTTTTGGTAGAGCTGGGTTATCTCCATGTCACTCATGCTGGTTTCAAATTTCTGGGCTCAAACAATCTGTCCACCTTGGCCTTCCAAAGTGCTGAGATTACAGACATGAGCCACTGCGTCTGGCCAACATTTTAAACTGTAATATTTGCTTATCATCGCTTATGGAAGAACTTTCTTTTCAGCTGTAATAAAAGTAGGTCTGTGGTGTGTTCTGATAGGCATTTTAGCAGACACGGTAGAAACGAGGTTGAAAGTTACAGGTGTCATGCACAGACACATGAATGTGGCATAGGCATCGGTTTTGCTGTCAGTGATGTGAAATCAAGCCGGGTGCAAGTGTGAACAACAGACTTCTCTGAGCTCTTACAGCATCGCTAGCCCATCGTTTGTTTAGTCTGTGAGGCTTGAAAGAGATAGAAAGCATACCTTCACTCATAGGCGGGTGTTGAACAATGAGAACACATGGACACAGGGAGGGGAGCACTACACACTGGGGTCAGTTGGGGGGAAATAGGGGAGGGACGGTGGGGGGTGGGAAGCTGGGGAGAGATAGCAAGGGGAGAAATGCCAGATATAGGTGATGGGGAGGAAGACAGCGAATCACACTGCCACGTGTGTTCCTATGCAACAATTTTGCATGTTCTTCACATGTACCCCAAAACCTAAAATGCAATAAAATAAATAAATGGGAAAAAAAAAAAAAAAAAAAAAAAAAGAAAGCATACCTGAGGAAGCCCTACTCAGATTGGCTACATGCCCCAGACCTGGAGATCTGGTACCAAAATTAGCCTCAGAAATCTTACATCATCTATCAAATGATGTAGTCAAAGAGCTATTTTTAAAAACCATTAATAGCCTAAGATCCAAATTTGGTTTTTAACACCGTAGTATCATCTTACCTGCAAAACAGATATTTTTCCTGGGCTCTGCCCATCTCAGTCAGATGTCCAGTTGTCAGTAACATTGAGTGTCATTGTGAAAGAATCCCATGGTCTCCATCTGTCTGTCCATTCATTCAGCAGACTGCTATTGAGTTCCCGTTGTGCTTCCAGTACTGGGCTAAGTCCAGACATGGGCATAGTATGTAGGCCACGCCCTTAGGAAGTTTATGACACCCATCAAGAAACCCACAGGTTGCCATTTCTGTACTCATGTGGTTTATAGGGGTCCCCACACTTATTCTCGGGAGGTACGTTTCAAGCCCCGAGGTGGATACCTGAAGCCACAGGTAGTGCTGAACTCTATATGCACTCTGCACACATACCTATGATAAAGTTACGTTTATAAATTAGGCACAGTAAGAGATTAACAGCAATAATAAGATAGGACAAGTTATACACCGTAATAAAAGTTTTACGAATGTAGTTTCTCCCTCTCAGAACATGTAATTACAATTCTCCTGCCTATTTCTGGAGCAGAGTTTACCACAGGTAACTGAAACTGTGGATGGGAAAACTGCCGTTACCATTTCACCTGAGTGAGAGGACTGCTGTATAGTGTCCCTCAGGGTCTGGGGGGAATTGGTCCTAGGACCCACCCCTCCCACCCACCATGGATACCAAACTCTGAGCATGTTCAAGTCCTGCCGTTGGCCCTGTGGAGCCTGCAGACAGGAAAATTCGGCCCTCTATGAATGCAGGTTTCACATCTCTGGAATACTGCATTTCCCACCTGTGTTTGGGTGTGGGTGCAGAACCTGCCAATATGTATTTTCTACTGTATTCATGGAAAGAAATCCACATATAGCCAGGCAGGGTGGCTCACGCCTGCAATCCCAGCACTTTGGGAGGCCGAGGCAGGCTGATCACCTGAGGTTGGGAGTTCGAGACTAGCCTGACCAGCATGGGAAAACCCCATCTCTACTTTAGTATATAAAAGTAGCCAGGGTTGGTAGCCTGTAACCCCAGCTACTTGGGAGGCTGAGGCAGGAGAATCACTTGAACCCAGGAGGTGGAGGTTGCGGTGAGCTGAGGTGCACCATTGCACTACAGCCTGGGCAATAAGAGTGAAACACCGTCGCCAAAAAAAAAAAAAAAAAAAAGAAATCCATATATAAGTGGATCCACCTGTGTTTTTCAAGAGTCACCTCTATAATGTTCCAGTGATAAAATCATTTTAAAATAAATTTTATCTAAATGCATTTCTACTTGTATAGCTGGACGTGAAGAAATGGCATACTATTTAAGAGTATAGTTGGCTGAGCACAGTGGCTAACACTTGTAATCCTAACAGTTTAGGAGGCCAAGGCAAGCAGATCACTTGTGCCCGGGAGTTCAGACCTAGCCTGGGCAACATAGAGAGATCCTCATCTTTTAAAAAAAAATTTTTTTTAAATTAACCAGGCATGGTGGCACATGCCTGTGGTCCCAGCTACTCAGGAGGCTGAGGTGGGAGGGTACTTGAGCCCAGGAGCTCCAGGTTACAGTGAGACATGCTCATGCCCCTGCACTCCAGCCTGAGCCGCAGATTGAGACCCTGTCTCTAAAAAAATTTAAAAAGTATAATTAGGAGAAATGGTTAGTTCCATTTTAAATATTTAGCACACAGTTAATGAGTGCTTGCTCTGCACCAGCCCCTCTTCTAGGTTTGAAACTGAAAATCAATAATAAATTGGCTCCACTGCCACTTTTCCATCTCTGGCTCTGGAAAATCGTGACATTAGAGAAGAGCTATAGGTAAGTATACATTATCAAAGAGCCTCCCGTTCTCTGGAGTTTTGAAGCAAGTGACCATATCCACAGGTTTCTTGACATGCTGCTTTGCTGGCTCAAAGTTTTGTCTTTCGCATGGGATCACTGAGATTATCTAACTCAAGGAAAGTTTAAATGGGCTTGCCTTGGGATCATGATAGGATTTGAAAATCTGTGTCTCTCACCATAATAAAAGGAAAACTACAAAGACGTTTGCATGGTTTGGTTTTGAAATCAGATCCACACATTAAATATTGAAGGAAGGGTGAAAGCTTTTATACAGCTGACAAATATCCCTTAGGAAGTAGAAAACGTCAATTTAAAAGGAAGAGGATATCATAATTCCAGAGCTTAAGATGAAATGCTATCTTTCATTTTTCCAGATGAATGAGTGAAATGGCAATTAGGACTTAACGTTAGGTTGAATTAGCAGGAATTCAGCAATTGTGTTCAAACAACAGTGGAATTGTAGGTCTTAGTCGGCCATAGACTTGCAAACCTATGATGAAAGGTGTCAGGTGGAGATAATTTATCTAGCATGTCCTGAGGTATAGTCCTCAACCCAAACCTGTAATTAAAGTGCAAGACACAGCCAGGCATGTGTGTGCCAGAAGACCTGGATTCAGCCGGGGGTCAGGATAAGGCAGAACCGGGGCTGTCCAGGAAATGGTGTGCACCCAAATCCTGATGTCTCTTTCTACCATTCTGAGAGGTCTTATTTTTATTACTCTGTTTATGCGGGAACTCAGTTACGAGTTGATAGAACCAGGGAACTTAGACATTTCTGAGCTCAGATCAGATGCCACTATTGAAGTGGGCCTGCTTTCAAGATAAAACAAAGCTGTATTCAGCTTGAATCTAAACAGAATTAAATTCTGCTCTATACTGCAAAGCCTGCCAAACTAGTTCTGGCAAATCACCATGAAGAAAAAGTTTCACAAAGCCCCTTAGCTGAAAGCTACGGATTCTGGGGCTTCCACCCTGAGAGACGGTTATCATCGGTAGCACAAGCACCGGCATCTTGGTGTAATATGATATTGAAGCAGCATTCTGCAGTCCGTCACAGAAGATACCCTCACAGCCAAACTGCTTCATATGAGACAGGCTACCGGGGGTCCATGTGCTCTCATCATTTAGTAGATTAGGATCCAGTGTAACAGAAAACTGACAAATACCCTGTTTAAATAAGACAGAGTATATGAAACGTGTATATGTTGTAAATGAATTTTAAAAGCCTTTTGACTAAAAATGTAACTATTCAAAGTTTGTTATACTGGAATTTAATTCATAGATGGTCCTAGGCTCTTTGCTTTTGTTTTAAATGCCACTTGCATTTCAATAAGATGAAAAGTCTGTGCCTGCCTTTCTCTGCCCTTCACTGTGCTGGAGGGGCCTTGCTGGCCAAGAAACTGTGAGGCCACATATGGAGTGTCTAGGTCCCCCCACCTAGGGCACAGCTCCACCAAGGGCATGCCATCTGTTGCACCTCCAGGAGCCTCAGCCCCACCGTTGGTTGTACTTTCATGGTACTGTGTGGGGGTGGCACCTGGGCCGGGGGTTGGCGTATCTTGCGAGGTAGGATACAGGTCTGGTTGCTGTGACAGACCCAAAACAGTAGCTGTGTGAGTGCACCTGCCCAGCACGAGGCGGCTGCCCCATCACAGGCCCACACTCCTGCAAGGCTGCATCCCCACGGAGGAAGGGGTGTGGCTCGTTCCTTCAGGACACCACTCACAAGGTACCCACCTGACTTCCAATCACATCCTCTTGCAGAAAGAGGAGAGCGGATGTGGAGGCGCACTGTGCGTCTCGGCGGTGCTGGCCCCATGTCCTAGATTGGTTGCTCCCACACACCTTCCTTATGACAGAGCCCTTGCTGAACCCAGGCAAATTAGTTCTCTTGGAGAATCGGACACAACCAGAGAGTCACTAGCATTGCCATGAGTCTTTTAAGCCACTGTTTAGTGGATACAGGGAGTATGCTGCCACGTTCCTGTGATAAAGTAACCATATCTTTTAGAATGTATCTTGCTTGATACTAGAATTCACTTATCTAGTTTATAGAGTTGCAGCAAGGATTTTACTTTGTTTATTCTCCATTTTGTAGGGAGTTAACAGATTTATTAGCATGTTGTTATCATTTTAAAAAGTTCAGCTTTTAAAAAAATTTATTTATTGTGTTATTATTATTATTATTGAGACAGATTCTTGCTCTGTCACCCAGGCTGGAGTGCACTGGTGTGATCCGGCTCATTGCAACCTCCGCCTCCCGAGGTTCAAGCAGTTCTCCTGCTTCAGCCTCCCGAGTAGTTGAGATTATAGACATGCGCTGCCACGCCTGGCTAATTTTTGTATTTTTAGTAGAGCCAGGGTTTCATCATGTTGGCGAGGCTGGTCTTGAATTCCTGGCCTCAAGTGACTCAGCTGCATCAGCCTCCCAATGTGCTGGGATTACAGGCGTGAGCCACTGTGCCCAGCCCAAGCTTCTCCCTCCAACGCCTTGAAGAAAAAAAAGAAATGTTTACGTCAGATAAAGACAGAAGAAAGTGGATGATTGCTTGTCAGATTTGTTTCTTTCAGAAAAGTAAAAACATTAAAGTCCTAAATGTGGCCTTTGAGGACAGTTTTCATAGTCCCAGCTTTGGCTGGGGTGACGTTACAGCCGATGCACCATCACCAGCTCATGTGCTGTGTTTGCATAGACCTGCATGTGCTGATGGGTCAGACTGCAGGTGTTTTCCACTTTAGGGACAGAGAAAGAGCGGTATTCATAGGAAAAGAAGTTCCTAGTGGAGCAGTGTCCTTCCATGAAAATCCACATGGCCTTTCCTCTCATAACCACATCATTGTCCTTAAAAAGAATGGATGCACTCTCTTTGTGCCAGACTCCAAATTCCCTCCTCTGATGTCGATGACCAGGTGTTCCAAGCAGGTTAGAACAGATGTGCACGTCCACCCGGCTCCACCATCGGTGCTCCTGCCACTGTCTCTGGGCTGTCTTCTCTACATTTCTGTCACAGAAGTGAATCCAGAGTGGTGAACTTGTACAAAACAATTAGGCGTGCACTTCTTCTTTCTTATGATTCGAAAAGAAGTGGAAGGAGCTTAGAGAAGGAGGGACCACAGTTTGTTGACCCTTCCGCTGAGAGGCGAGTTGCTGGTGGTTATCTTCGGTTCTTAGCATTTGTCTCTTCTGAAAAAAAGTGCGTTCCCAGATTACCTTTCTTTATATAGTTAAGATTTTTAAATTTTGTCCCATTTTTCTTCTGCTCTGTGACTTTTTGCTTTGTCATAAAATGTAATTATGATAAAAACATGGAAGTTTTTTGTGTTGTAAAAACTGGTTCATGAAAAGCAGTACATGCAACAGAGAATCATTGCAGAGTACAACTCTCTGAACTAACCAAATTGTTAAAAATAAGTAAACTCATGACTTTATCTTTTTTCTAGATAGTCATGTAAAATAAAATGTATTATAATCAGTGTAAGTAATTAAACTCCATGGAGAAGATTAACCATATATTTGGAGCAACATATGCATATATGTGATTATGTGATACAAAATGTTCTCTGTGTATGTCTTAGCATGCTAGGGCTGCATTCACAAAATGCTATGTGGCTTAAACAACAGAAATTTACTCCGCCCTGTTCTGGAGGCTGGAAGTCCAGACCAAGGTGTCAGCAGGTCTGGCTTCTCCTGAGGCCCCCTTGGCTTGCAGACAGCCTTTCCTCTGCACCCACACCCTGGCATCCAGCTTTCCTCTTCTTCCAGGACATGAGTGAGCCTAAGAGCCTCACTTTTACTGATTTACTTCTTTGGAGGCCCTGTCTCCTAATAAGGCACATTCTGAGGTGTGGCTTGGGGTTTCAACATGTGAATTTTGAGCAGACACAGTTCAGCCTATAACAGCGTATAACATGTGAAAATATTAATATTATAGGTGACATAGCCTTCTAGGGTAAAATGCAAATAAAAGCATGTACAGGTCTCTCTGTGTCTCCATTGTTTCTCACATGTGATATGCTCCAGGCAGAAACTGACTTGTGTCCTGTGCTGTGTCTCTGCTCTTGGCAGGCCTGGCAGCTGCGGTTCAGCCACCTTGTGGGGTATGGTGCCAAGTATTACTCTTACCTCATGTCCAGGGCGGTCGCCTGCATGGTTTGGAAGGAGTGTTTTCTACAGGATCCTTTCAACAGGTAAGATGAGAATAAGTTCTGAAACGTCCCTGCTTTGGACCACAGTAATCCCCCACCCTATTAC